CTCAACTATTATTTTTTCTGCATTTAAATTGTTTTCGTGTACTAAAAAGTTATTTCTGCCTTAATTTAAAGAGTTATTTTTTTAACAAAATAAACTATTTTTGAACTTTTTATTGGAGTACCAATTGATCTATACCAATATTTAAATTGCGAAATTTTTAGATTCTTAATTTTAACTTGCTTTATAATTTTACAAATTTCTATTTTTCCGTACATTTAGATGAGGATATAACAACAGTTAATAAAATAGTTGTATAAAACTTATTAAGCGTTTTATACATGTAGGTAATTCAAGCTTTTTAAAATATTGCACATTTAGTGTCTACTTTACCATTATAATTACTTAACAGAATAGCTTTTAGTCTGAAATCGCTCTGTCAATCATTATAAAACTATTAGTAAAATGTCCTGCTTTAGAAGAAGAATTGGTTGCAAAAAAGCAAAGTCAAAATCGTGCCCTCGTTCTTTCTTGTAATCGAACACACTCCGAATTTGATGTTGTTGTGTGATGGAACACTTTCTTTTCCAAGTTAACATCAAATTCAGTTTTCATATACAATTTTAAAGAAGTAAATCGTAAAGCTAGTTCTAAACGACTTACATAGAGAAAAGTTTACACCACGCTCACGCTCTTTCACACCATACGTAAAATATTTTCTCTTCAGAAACCACCAATGTTGGCACACTTTAGAAATCATCCGTAGACTGTTTATACATTGAATGAAAGTTGACGAGAGTTACGTTTTCTGTTCTACTGTTAATGAAACAAAAGTTCACTGTTAAAATATGGATACATACATTTTAAATTGTGTTGCAAGGATATTTATATTTTAGTTATTAAGTCTCTGTAAACTGTATTAAATAGTTTTCTAATGTGTCATTTCTATTTACTTTGGTACTTTTAAACCCAGTTCAAATTCGTCTTAATATTTAATATTGTAATGCATTATTGCATTATTATAATATTATTCTACCCATTGTTTTACATCCGTCGTTGAACAGCCGACCTAATTTTTGGCCTAACGACTACTAATGTTAAACTCCGTAGCCTTGTAATTTTGAACCCAATCTAGAAAACAAGGGAACTGCTGGATCAAGTATTGGGAGAAATTTACCTTTGTGGAGGACTTTTTGATGGAACTAACCCACATTTATGTTACATGGAGAGGAAGAAAACGAGAACCTCCCACGGTTTGCCTGGCGACAGGGGGACTTTTCTTTTCTTTTCTCCAAGTTTTGGACATGTACCTAGGTCGTTATGGACCCTTTACGATATAGCCCAAAGCTTTGCTACTGGTCCGGCTCCACTCCAGCCTAGGAACGAGAGCACTGTGGTCGGTGCAAGCCGGATGCCGAATTCGTATCGACCAGCCATCGCTGGGATTCGAACCCGGTTCTCCTCATTGTAAGGCAAACGCATTATCCCCTGAGTCATCGCAGCTTTTTTTAAATTGATTATCTATTTGGAAACATTATTTCTATAAGTCACTGAAGATCTGGTATTTTGTGGAAAGAGTAAAAAAAAATTCATGTAATTCAACGCCAAAAATCGGGGCAACATCAAATTCGTTTAGTGAAACACTATACATTAAAGTTAGATCTAGGTTTTTCAAGAATGTTCTTTTACACTACTTGGTAAAATAAAGCCATTTTCAGTAATCAGTAACTTTAAAATTTAATAATTTCAGTAAGATATGATAAACATATGAATGAAAGTTATTTTTACGCTAAAGAAAAAATCTGTAATTAAAGATGCGCTAATTCTAGAAATTAAATTAGTATATAAATCAAACGCGTAGAAAAAGTTTAGAGGAATTCGATCTGGGTTTAACAGAAACAAAGCGAATAGAAATAACATATTATAAAATGTTTAAATAGAATTTACTAAGACTTGAATTATAAGTCTTCTTATAATCAATCTTTAAATTAAGAACCATCAATTTTGGCTGCATCTACACAATATTTTTTTTTTTAAAAAAGCTAGTCTGCTCATGAAAGATACACGCAAAACAGAGAGAAAATTAAATATAGATCTGAAGAAGGCTTAACAAATCGGATCCGTTTAGAAATTAAATATTATAAAAATATTTAATATAATTGACAGATTAATGTAAACCTTCTTCTAAGAACATAACTAAAAGCATACATTTCTTCTAGCGTTACAGTTTCTTATTTTTTCTGTAAATGTTCAGCATCGTGCGATGCGATGGCATCACCTTCTCTGCTCGTTTGTAAACAAACAATATCGATCGTCTGATAATGGTATGCCTGCAAGTGACGTAGTGTGTGTATCTCGATCCTGATTGGTTTTAAAACGTGACCTTGTTTACATTAGCAACTGTTTTTTCATTCAGTTCCGAGTTAACTTACCACGTCAATTATCAATTCCCTTAAGGGATACATTCTATAATCCTTCACAAAGATTCTTTCACGATGATTTCGATTCATTCACCATATATTTCTTACTTAGGACAAAAACAACCACGTAGTCATGTAGGAAATAAACAAACTAATTATGCATCGAAATTGCCAGGTATACGAAACGAAAATATATCACGCGCTACAATAAAATACATAAACAAATAATAAAACTACGAAGGAATTATATTTCAACAAATCCAATGTGTGATACGGAGCTGTACTTAATTAACTTCGCGTTAATTAACAGTCTAACTTATGTGGAAAAACTTAGCTCAGCTTTGACACTCCATTTTGTATATTCACGATCAGCTCGCGATGATGTCATAGGTCACATGTGTGGGTATGTTTGATCTTCTTCTCGAAGTGCAAGTATAATACGTTCGTTTGGAATTATGCCCGATTTCCAAACGAAATCAATTTTAAGCCTCTGAAAAATGTACTTTTAAATTGCCATTAATTAATGAAAGGAATATTTGAATAGAGATACGAAATCACTCTTAACTACTTAATTTCTTTAAATAAACATGCTTTTCTTTTGTGTCCTAGAAAATATAATGCTAGGCGAACTTTAGGGTCCAATAAGTTAAAGCAGTCGATGATGCTATTTTAACTCTTTCAACAAATAATTGCGCGAATTTCTTCATATAATATTTTTAATTTTTTATTACTAATCGAAAAATTCTAAATCCTTGAGCTTTCAACTTTTTAAACCTCTTAAACAATATAATTTTTAATTGCGAAATTCACGAGAATGAACAAAATCGGTTGAGTTGATTTAGCAACCGATAAATAAAAAATTGAACACAATAACTCTTTTTAATTTATTGTACTCCTTCATTATTTATTAAGCATACTAAAAACATATAAAAAACAATGATTTAAAAAGTCTAAAATGAATATTACTTCAACAGTTATTTTCGATTTGACTGAAAGTTTTATGATTACTATCCCTTGGAATCGTTACATTATTAACCCATGAGCATCAGGCGAGAGGTAATATGGGTAGATGTCCCCCTCAATATTTCAAACGAATAAAAAGAATTTTCGTTAATTGTTAGCGATTTAGACACCTTGAAGTTAAAGACAAGAAATAAATAAAAATTATTAATCTTTTAGTCGATATTTAGAACATTTAAGAAAAAAAGTCTCGTGCGCTAAATTTAGACAGCTAATGAGACTGTGTCATTTAATTTCGTCCCCCTAAGTAATTTAGCCCATATATTTACCCCAATACATAGTTGGCATATTTTTATTCTTAATCATACTACTTACCACCTAGTAACAAAAGTAATTACGTCAAATAACAAAATTTTGTCTGATAACAAAACTAATTACGTCTAATTTTAATTTTTGAGCAATGATGGCTCAGGTGATAGAGCGTTCGCCTTCCAATGAGGTAAGCCGGGTTCGAATTCTAGCAATGGCTGGTCAATACGAATCCGCATCCAGCTTGCAGCGACCACAGTGCTGACGTGAAATATCCTCAGTGATAGACGGATCATGGGTTAGTCCCCTTGCCGGCAGGCTAACCGTGGGATGTTCTCGTGGTCTTCCTCTCCCTGTAACGCAAATGCGGATTAGTTCCATCAAAAAGTGTCCTCCATGAAGGCAAATTTCTCCCAATACTTCATCCAAGAGTTCCCTTGTCTTCTGGATTGGGTTCAAAATTACCAGGCTACGGAGTTGAATATTAGTAGTCGTAAACCCAAAAATTGAGTCGGCAATTCAACGATAGTTGGCATATTTTTATTCTTGCTCTTACTATTTGCCACCCAATAACAAAAGTAATTACGTCTAATAATGTCGTTAACTAATTCTTTGAGAATAATATTAATAGAAGTAATTACGAATAATAGAATCGAATAATAAGTTTAGAGAATTATAAGTTTAACTAACAGTTATTGAAATCAATTGAGATATGAATAATTCTCAACTTCTGAAAAAGAGAAATATGATTTTTCTCCCCATTTGAGAGATAATTATCTTGATATCTGAAAATTGATATCTAAAAATATAATTATCTTGATATCAAAAAAAAAAGTAATAATAATAATAAATTTGGAAGATTCTTATTATTATTCCGAATTCCTGCATGATCAGAAGACAAAATTCTTAATAATTATTTTAAATCTCTCAGTTTAAATCATAGTTTAATGTTCATTGTCGAAGAACGGTAACTAAAATAACAAGATGTGTTTCGGCATTTTTAACTCTTGACCTTATCATTTTTACAACATTAGCAAAGATGATTATTTCCGATAAGGTAGATAACTAGTTTTGTAAGATCAATATTGCAAGTTTAACAATTAGATAATGAAATATCAAATCTCAGTTTCGAGAATAGGTGTGGCAATTAGCGTGAAAACCAAATTTGTAAACAAAGGCAATGAAGCAAAAGAATGGCGTGACAGAGCACTTCATGTCAAATCAAATAATCCTCACTTGACACAATGCAATTTTCTTCAACAAAGTTGACTTAAACTGTCAACATTGTTATCCACCCAGAGTAAAAACTAAAAAGCAATTCGCGAAGAGGAAGCATTACTGACAAACCACTTTTTTAAAGTTACTTTTTTTGCAACGCTTGACACTCAGAGGTGTAAGAGTTGGGTGTCACGTGATCCCATATATAGAACCCAGTAGAATCGTTTTACTGCAGATCATCTTCTCCTGAAGGAAAAACATGAAACCCTATCTTCTCTTCTTGTTCGTTGTCATCGGCGTTGCAGGTGTTAGTTGTGAGTAGAATAATTTTTGTCACAAAATATTCCATTTTGATATTCTGTTCCGGACTTTCGAAAAGATTTATTTAAAATGTATGTTGTTCTTAAATGACAAGGTGTTCGTTTTATCCGTAGGATATGACATACGGAATGGAATCATGTTCTTAAGATGATAAAAAATTCTGATTTTTAAATTATTCGAATAAATAAAATATTCGAATAAGTAAATTATTCGAATAAGTAAATTATTCGAATAAGTAAATTATTCGAATGAGTAAATTATTCGAATGAGTAAATTATTCGAATGAGAAAATTATTCGAATGAGTAAATTATTGAATATTCGTCTTTGACTGTTGTTTTATTTAATATCTTTCGGAATGGGATCATGTCTTAGAGATAAAAAGTTCAGATTTTTAAATAATTTATCATTATTGATCGTCTTTAACTATTGTTTAATTTAATTTTACTAAGTAGGATCATATCTTGAAAAATAAGAAATTCGGATTTTTAAATCATTCTAATAAGTAAATTATTCAAAACTTTTAAATTATTGAATATTCGTGTTTGACTATTGTTCAATTTAATATCTTTCGGTATGAGATCATGTCTTAGAGATAAGAAGTTCAGATTTTTAAATAACTTATCATTATTCATCGACTTTAACTATTGTTTGTTGTACTAAGTAAGATCATATCTTGAAGATAAGAAATTCTGATTTCTAAATTATTCATCATTATTGGTCGTCTTTTACTGTTCTATAATTTAATGCAATTCTATCATTTAACTATTCTATAATATAGTTACCGAATAGTGTAATATAATGAAAATGATAACTCATTATACGTTAACTATTCATAATTATTAGACATATACAACTATTAGCATGTTATTATCTTACAGACTGAGATCATGCATTTAAAATTGATCACTAAATATTTTTAAAAAATATTCACTATTATTAGTCTTCTTTGAGATATGGATTCTTCTTAAAGTCTTACAAAATAGGATCATCATTTAATGATTACTAATTATCTTTAAACACTTTATATTGCTGGTCTTTAACCATTTGTCATTTTAATGTTTTGCGGAATGGAATGCTTTGAAAACGATATGGAATTTTTTTTTAAATAATTCATAACTTTTTGTCTTTTTACTATCTGCAATTTAATAACTTACGGAACCGAATCATTCTTTAAAAACGATAACTAATCCTTCGTAAATAATTCATCGTTCTTAGTCTTCATGATTATTTTAATGACTTACTGAACAGCCTTGAAATAAGTAACTGCAACTTTTAAATTATTCAAAATGTTTGTTCGCGTTAATAATTTTACTTGAATATCTTATCTACAAATTATCTCATTCATTTAAAATGCATTATGATGCGAAGAGAAGAACTTTCAAAGGATTATACATAATAAATGTGCTTGAAATTATTATTTAATGTTACATAATTTTATGACCTTATCGTTACTGATAAAATATCATCTGTGATTAATGAGGAATGTTTACTTTTCGCCCTTATTTTTCATTTTTATCCTATTATTTCCACACCAAAAACTGTCAATGTCGGGTAAGATGATGCAGAATTGTACTCTAGTGTATTACGAAGTTTTAAATAATTGTAATTATTTCTTCTATTTTGTAATAAAGCACCTAACTTATTAAAAATGCATGCTCAAACAGCCCTTCAATTTTTGAAAACGGTTGAGATATTTTTGTTATATTATTTACTAATTTACGAGCAAAAAAAAGGAAGTAACGATACAAAATAATCGTATTTACTCTTTTTTATATAAAAAAGATCATGGGATGGAAAAAATATTTTTCAGTTTGTACTAACATACAAACTCTGAGGTTTTTTATTTTATTTACATTGTACTTTTTATTTTTTGTTTCATTTCATTTATTTATTTATTTTTCAATATTCTTAAAGTAGAGCAACAAGTGAAAAACTAAGGTGTTCTGTGAAGACCGTTCTTATTATATATATTTATTGAATCATTAACAAGTCACCAGTAGTCCATAGAGTATTATAAATTTATATTTAAGAGAAGAAGAAACAAAAGCGTTCTCGGATTCTGTCATATTGCTAGAGTAGTTTATGAAGATAAAAGTATCAAAATCTGTTGCAACTTTGAGGTGTCGCATTTTTATCATCATTTTAACTTTTCCCTTATCACTTTTCTCTGTCGGCAGAAAAACAGGTCTTCAATCCCACTCTCCCTCGATAGTGATTAGTAGAGCCCAGATTTTGATGACCTAAAAAATCTCAACTAATGCCCCTAAAAAGTGCAAAAAATGCCCTTAAAAAAGGTAAAAAATGCCCTTAAAAAAGGTAAAAAATGCCCTTAAAAATCCAAAAATTGCGCAAAAAATGCCTTAAATAAAGTAAAAATATTGAATTAAAAAAATGTTTTGCTCTTTAAAATTATTATGAGTCATTTAAAAAATATAAAGCAATGCAATACTTGTTCTACGTTCATTAAAGTTTGAAAAATATGTTTTATATCCTAAAATAACAAAAAAAGGAAAATATATTGACACCAAAATATTTTTATTTTGTATAGAAACTTTAATGGATATAACAACTTCCATCTCATAATATTACTAAATATCAGAATTACATTGGATTATTAAATGTTTTTTGATAATTTGAAATGTAAACGAGCGTCTCTTGTCTGAAAGTAAATTTTCATTCCTGCAGAAGCTTCTTTCAACGTCTACTGATGTTATAGGTGCGTACTTGAAAAAGACGGTCTCACTTACTGACAATTCTTCTTCAATTTGAAAAGATTTTGCTTCACCTGTTAATATTCTATAGATTTTCTTCATTGTTTGGAAGCCAGTGTAATAATGAAAATTGATAAAAAATAATAAAAATTGGAAAAAAATTAACAAAAAACTTTCAAAAATGCATTAAAATGCAAAATACGCCCCAAAATTTAAAGAAAAATGCCCTATAAATCTAAAAAAATGCTCTAAAAGACAAAAAATGTCCAAAAATGCAAAAAAATGCAGATGTCATCAAAATCCGGGCCTTAGTGATTAGTATGATTCCAATGGTGCTTTTAGCGGACATTATTAATAGAAATATTAATTTTTAAAAAAATTTTAAGTTATGTTAATTCGTTTGAAATGAATAAAGAGAATATATGCATGTTTTTTAATTCGTAGTTTATCAGTGGAATGATTAGTTTACAGACTTAACGCTAGCTTAAGTTTAATTATCTGGATGCGAGCTTCTCATGTAGATAACAATTTTATAGATATGCAAGCAAAAGAGTTCAAAAGACAAAGTTTCACTTGTTCCAAATTTGATAAAATTCGCTTTACCAGATGGTTAGATCTAATTTCAGCTTCGTGAAAACTACAATAGCTAACATAAGGTACCGAAATATCATTAGGCGTAATCAAATCATACTATTAAGAAGAAATTTAAGGAGGTCATTTCATGCAACTCGAAATACTAATAATATGTAGGGCCAGGAGTAATCTACAATATCCATCTATGAAAAGGTACCCCCACCATAGAATCAAGTTAACCTGCCTTAAATACCAGTGAATTGTAATTGTATTTTTGTAGTGGTAGAAACACCACAGTACTCCCCCCTGGAATTATAACTCTGATAGAATTCGATGAATGGATACCACTTGTTGAATCATTGCTGTTTTGTGAAAAGCCGGGAGAGCTCTGTTAAGATCACCGTACTTTTGAGTGCTGATCAAGAGAACTAAGTTTACGGTCGTGGTTGCCTTTAGCAATCGAGTGTATACGTTGTGTGTGATCGAGACTGAGTAGCTGTCGCGAGAGCAGGTGGATAATGTCGCCGTCACAAGTACTAGATCAATCGTTCAATGAGGGCCATCCTTCGAAGTAGGCGTGTTCAGATCTAAGTGGGCGTTACTGTCATGATATCTTCTTTATATTGAAATGGGAGTTTCTGTCAAGGTTCACATCACGTAAGGAGGTCACCAATGAGGGGATAGAAGCTATAGACAATATCAACCTTCATCTGTGAAAAGGTACCTCACTACATAACAATAATCGAGTTAGCGTGTCTTATATACTAGTAAATTGGCAGTGTATTTTTGTACTAGTAGAAAAACTACAATACGTTAATCATGGAATATATTTTAAAATCTGGCACTTGAGATTTTCTCTAGCAAAAGTTTTCGAATTTACTGACAGTTCTTTTTTAAGTAAATATATATTTGGTATGTATATTTGGTATATACATTTGGTATGTTACCCAGATTTTTTAAGAAACAATTTTAAAGGCATCATAATTAGGACGATCATTTTTTTGAATAATTAATTTTTTAAGCAAAATCTTTATTAATTTAAATAATATGAGACATACCAAAAAGCAGGTTTATTGGAACTTCAAATTCCTCTTGTGTTTAAATTTACAACTTTGAGAAAATGGCATGATGAGCTTAAAAGTAATTCGAAAAATCTTAAAATTGCTTTTAATATAGCTAGGAAAAAAATTTATTCGTTTGAATCTCAAAGTTACTGTGAAGTAAAATTTGAGTTGCGTCATTTTTTATGGAGAAGTTAAAGTATCTCATAACTTAGTAATATTTTTAATATTTATATTAGATTTTTGCGTCGATGCTTAGTAAGTAAATATTATTCGGTAAAATGATTACTAATATTTCGAAAAAATATTTATGGGCACGTGTAAAAAAAACTCTAACGAAAAGCATTATTTTTTCCTCATTTCTTTTTTTATTACAAAGCATCGATGGAATTGTACTATATTTCAATTTATGGATAAATATTCAAAGAGAAAATCAATATTTAAAGAACATGGAGAAAACTAAAGCTATGACGTTCTGATCATAGAAGTTTAATGTTTATAGAGCGCAACAAAGGTGAAGAATATCCTTGATTTATTTCCTTATTTGATCAACATTTATGTTTTCATTCATTAAACAAAAGCAAAAATTCATTTCCTTTTCTTTTATAACAGTAAAATCATATTTAAAAATCTATTTATTCAATTCCCACCATTAGTTCACACTCTGTCTATATCTCCCTATCAAATTTTCAATCGTTACATTTTATTCATCAATCATTTTTTATCAAATCCATTTTTTTTACACTTGTAGTAGATGACGCTTGATGTTTATATAGTAGTTTCAAATATTAATTCATTCATTAAATAGGAATGAGAGAAAAACGAAATGGAATTTTCTCAAGATTTCTGCGACAAAATTCTCTTGCATCAATACTTTTCTGGAAGATATTTTTAATAATAAAAAACATACATATTACCAATTTAAAGTAACAAAAGCGCTGTGTTTACAAAAGAAAAACTGTATAACTTTTTTTTTAATTGCACATGTAATAATTTTTTATTCTAATATTATGGGTGGTATTCTCGCATTTTGTTGGGGGGGGCANTAGTGTGGCAGAAACTAGACGTCCAAATTAACATGACCAACGGTATCTCACCCATTGTGGTGGTCCTGAAAGAGTGGATACCACCTCTGGAGAACGCACTAGGTCTGCTCATCGGCAAGACTGATTGTGCAGCTCATTGGAAGGAAAAAAAACAATTAGTCCACACTCTCCCTTTATATATTTATTTATCTTGTTCAAATTTTGAATCGTTCATAAAATAATTTTTATTCATCTACTCTAAATTCAAGTACAATTTTTTTTAAACTTATCGTGGATGACGCCTGATGTTAATACAGTTTTCTCAAATATTACTTCACTCATTAAATTTAATGAATTAATTTTAGTTTTATATGCCCTGTGGCAGAATTTTCTCAAGATTTCTGCGACAAAATTCTCTTGCATTAATACTTTTCTGGAAGATATTTTTAATAATAAAAACATACATATTACCAATTTAAAGTAACAAAAGCGCTGTGTTTACAAAAGAAAAACTGTATAACTTTTTTTTCATTGCACATGTAATAATTTTTTGTTCTAATATTACGGGTGGTATTCTCGCATTTTGTTGGGGAGTGCACAAATTATTTCCTTCTTCGTAATTTGTAAATAATCATATCAATAAAAAAAGATAATGAAAAATCATGAAATCCGTAGTAGTAATTGCCGAAAAAAAGATTGATGACGAAATCACGCGAATCGGACTCCTCAAATGCGTGCTCGAGATAAAATTGTTGCAATAAATAATATTGTATAAAAAATATCGGAATTTTAAAACTGTGGAGAAATCAATAGCAATAACTGCCCAAACTTCGATAGAATTATTGCCTTAAAAAGTCAATATTCAAATGTACGATTCGAATTCTTTATATTGTTTGAAATATAACAGGATATTTAAAATCCACGTGAAAATCAAAATCAATAACTGCCAAAAATACAATCGAAAATTTACATCGATTTACGATACTGTCGGCTTAAATTGAACGCGTTATCTAACTGCATGATTCAAATATTACGTGTAAATTTCTGTAGAAAAGAAAAGTAATTATTTTTAAGCTTTTCAAAAGGAAAATCTTTCTGCAAGAACTCTGTAACGTTCTGCGACAATGTCGCCGTGTCGTTGTGATTCTGCCTCGGGGTTTATATGGAAGAAAATTTTTTAATTATTCCGTTAAAAGTGACTAAAATAAGAAAATTCTTTGATGACCTAATTAGAAATCGACTTTTAAAAAAAATTATATTATTTTTTTTGTTACTTCAGATGGGGCCGAAGAAGTACCCCAAGTGATGTGCAGTGAGCCGAAATGTGATAAACCAGGATGCAGTATTAACTACAATACCAAACCATGTCCTAGCTGTGAATGCAATGAAAAACATAAGGTATCCTGTAATATGCCGAAATGTGATGGTCCTGGCTGTGAAATAAATTACAGCACTAAACCGTGTCCATCCTGCTCATGCAAAGACACAGGTAAAAAGATTGAATGACGTTTATGAATTTAGATGAGGTTACTAAATAGGATACTATGCGTATTATACAAAAAAGCACCCTGATAACATCTGGTTTTGTAATCAGATTTTCCCGTATAGAATTTCTATCTTCATGCTTTGGAAGTCAAATTTAAATATGCCATATATTTGTGTACATAATATTTTAAGGGACCGGATACAAATACAATTGTTCTTTGACTAAACATTTTATTCAATGAAATGATTTTTTTATTGACCTTAATTTATAAATTTCAAATTTTAATGTTGTTAATAATTTTAGAAATTTGAATAAGTTTGAAATTTTAGAAAATTCACGTTTTTAAGTATTTAGATCCTTAAAGTTTAAAATTCTATAAAACATATTTTGATGAACAAAGGGGAAAAAATTCAAAAATATTAGTAAGTTACTGAATAAATATGGAAATTGTGTAAATATAATTCTTCGTAGGTCAACAGGGAAGAACTAAAATTCTTTTTCATCCTGAATCCTTGAAATATGGGGTTAGGTGTAATCTGAAAAACAGTTTCATCGGAGGAACTATCAAAAGTATAAACTATAATTAGTTCACCAGGAGTTAACACTTGGCTCCGCCTTCATCACGTGGTATCCGACAATACTATTTCGCTATTTTTCAGAGAAGAATGCGAACAATCCTGAAGATGGTTGCTTTTTGGCGATTGTATGACAAAAATATTTATTTCGCTATCTTTATGTGCATTTTTGTAGCAATAAATATTTCATAAAATTGATGTTTCTCACTTTTGAGTGAATTTGTTCTTTTTGAGACATTTTGCTGGGGAAACAGCAGTTTTTAAATTTAAAATATATATTTATAGCTAGAGTAAGGAAGGGTATAATAGCAGATGATTAAGCGAAGTAAGTGGTTGAAAAAGAAATCACTGTTTGCGTTTTGCGTGCATTAAGGGTTGTCATAGTTTCAAGCGCGTCAAGTGCGTTCTCCTGTTACTCCCGCGCTGAAATGAACTCTGAGTCCGAGAAGGTGGAGTCAAGTGCCAGCTCCTGGTGAACAAACTATACTCATTATTTATTTAATTTTTTTTTTATATATATTTGGCCATACCCTTAAAACTATCTACATTAATCGTAAAGCTTGTTTACCACAATTTTTATTTTTTAAAAATTACTTGACTAATTAGATTCCAATTTTCGATTTTGTGCAAAAAAATTTTATGCTGCATTTAAAAAAAATCGACTATCATTAAATTAAGTAACAAAGAAAATAAAAAATTACAAATAATTGCTGCGAATTATATTTGGATAAACAAATTTTATAATTGTGAGGGGGGAATTGTTTGACTTGCTTAAACAATTCCAGAGACATGCAACAAAGGCAATAGGCATTGAAGCTCCCGAATTTCCTAGCAGAGGTTATCTCCTACATGCATTTTTTTTTAATTCAAAAATCCGTCAAGAAGTAATTCAAAGAAAATGCACTTCCGTGTCGGATATCGGAATTTAAATATTTCCACTACAAATAAATAAATAACTTACCCTCAAAAGAATAAATCTGCATATAAGTAGATAAAAATCTGACAATTAGATCAGAGGTTATATGCACTGGTGTAAGAAATTAAAAGAATTTGCAGACTGGGTCGATTATCTCTAGAACTACAGGACCGATTTTAATGAAATTTGATATGATTGATACAATACAAAACAAATAACCATTCAACAATTATAATGCACACGCATGATCGCGGAGTCGGATGGTTTGAAACAGCGTTTGCAGAATAAACAATAAAAATTGGTTAATAGGGGTAATGGGTTAATAGGATCTGTAAGAAGAGTATGGTCGTGACCCCCGGGGTTCACGGTATGGTCCCCTCTTACAGATATACAAGCCTAGCAGCTTGATTTCATACTTGAAATAAAGCAGATTTTCATTTCCTGTGGCAATCGGCCTGAAGTGTCTTGTGGCAATTTCATACCTTCCGACTCCAACGAGTGTTGCGCACGATCATGCATGTGTATTACAATTGTTGGATGGTTATGTGTTTTGTATCAGTGTATGTACACATCAAATTTCATTAAAATAAGTAGTTCTAGAGATAATTGACCCTGTCTACTAATTCTCTTAATTTCTTTGACCAGTGTAAGTGTTCTATTTGTGTACGTTAAGTTTTTATTTCATTAAAAACGTTAACCAGAAATAAAATTTCTAAACCTAGCCTATTTAAATAAGAGTTCATGTTTTGTAAATGTCACTTGATCCACAAAAATATTCTATCATATTCATTATTTTGTGTTCCCTTCCTTCAGAAACTGCTTACAAACAATCTAGACAGAAAAGGCAAGTCCAGTGCAGCCCACCCAATTGTGGCCGAGGTTGTCGCATCAACTACCAAACAAGACCATGTCCAAGTTGCTCATGCAGACGAGGTACTAAAAATGGTTAAATCATTTTGACTGGCAGCTTTTTAATTACTAACTAAAAAACAAGGTTCTAAGTTGCTCTGACTATATAAAGCTACTATTTTATATTGAGGTTGATTGGATTCTACAATTATTTCAAAATATGCTTTTAATACAGTGTGGCTAAGATCTTTGCTTTTTTATGGATGGCCAAGATTTAATTTTCAAAATATTTCAGAAATTTCTTGATTAATGCTTATTTAACCTAATGGAGTAATTAACCTAAAGTTAGTTTTTAGTTGCAAAGGTTAAAAGCAGACATTATTACAAGTTAAGGGGTCAGAGTACCCTTGCAACATTTTTTTAAATAAAGGTATAATCATTCATTTTGTGGAAGCTTTACAGGCTCGTTTAACTTATAATCAATAATTTATCTTCAAAAAATAATTAAACTGTTTAATTTTTTTAAATTTAAAAGAAATTGAAAAAATTCAAATTTTTAAATTTTTAAGGCTTTTTTGTTTTAACATATTTTCAATTTTTTTTTTCATAGTGCTTACAATATTCATCTTAACGACTTTGTGCATTCATTTGTTGATATATCAATTAGAAGATTACTGTTAGGTAAAATTAAAAATTACTGTTAGGTATATATAACATGCTGTAAAAGTTTTAATACCTAAGGTCCTTATTCCATGCCCAGTTTAAATAAGTGTATTTATACTTAAGATAAATAAGTTTACTTCAAAGCTTTATTTTAAATAGAAAAAATTTCACAATTTCTTCGGGATTTAATTAAGATTAAAACACAAAATTATCATCTATGAACAAAAAACACTTTTAAAATCTGTCTGATGATCAAGTTTCTGTTTTAGATCAATCTAAAATCAATCATAATTCTTTTAAAAATGTAGATAGAGAGATGATCTTTTTCAGTGCATTTGAAATAGTTTGAAGTTTTATTATAACCAACTAAAAAAGCATCGATATTTTGGTCAATTTTTTGGGTACTGCGACCCCTTAAGGATAATATTGGGTGTAAAATTAAACTTTTACCACTTATGATAAAAAGTCTATTTCCATGAAGGAATCTGAGGCAGTTACGACCACATCACCATTCATTTCATTAAATCAATTAAAATTTTAATTTCAATTCAAAAGAGAAAAAGAAACTCTACATTTATTTTCATTAAAAAAATACTTAAGTGATACAAGCCCTGATTTGTGTTGTATGAAAATATAACCAATGAAAAACTCGCACTGACAGTCCGACGACAAAAAGATCCCCTTGAGAAAAAATGTATACTTATGAGAAAAAATGTATGCTTTATAGGAAGATTGTATTAGAGAAAATTAACCTAATTATTTTAACCGTTAGTCGCAACATTAGATGCTTTCTTTTCTACCAGTTTGACCCATGTTATTCATTGGAAAAGTAGCATGAGCTGGAAAATTTCAACACAATTTGAACCTAGGGCTTAATACTGGGAAAGCTTAAAATCTCTAAAGCGTAGACAGGTTTCTTACTCTGTATAGCATTTCGTTGCCCCTCTGCATTTTCTTTTCCCGCTCATCAGCCCTGGTGATTATTTCCGAATCATTGTTGTACTGTTAAAACAGTTATAAACAGGCATAAAACAGTTTTTATACAAAAGTTAATATCGAGCGGCGATGGCGTTCGCCTTCCAATGCGGAGATCCGGCTTGCACCAACCACAGTGCTGACGAGAAATATCCCCAGTGGTAGACGGATCACGGGTTAGAGTCTCCTTGCCGTAAGGCTGAACGTGAGAGGTTCACGTTGTCTTCTTCTCCGTGTAGCGCAAATGCGGGTTAGCTCCATCAAAAAATTCTCCACGAAAACAAATTTATTCCAATACTCGATCCAGGAGTTCCCTTGTCTTCTGGATGGGGTTCAAAATAACAAGGCTACAGAGTTGAGCATTGGTAGTCGTAAACCCATAAAATTGGGTCGGCTGTTCAACGACGGTTATAAAATAAAATATAAAAGTTGATATCATTCACTTAAAATTTTTAAAAAATTCTGTTTGCTTACACTTATGCGCCACGTCCAAGCATTTTCTTATGAATAATAATATTGCTTAGTAATCAGTATTTAAAGTGACATTTGACATTAAAGGTATATCGTCATAACAAATTTGATGAATTCGCAACTGTTATTTAAAATTTTTGCTTACTTAACAGTTAATCGATATAATACATTTTTTTTGCATGCATCACATTGTGCATCACGTTGATCGTTAAGTTCTTAATTATTTAACGAATCTTTTGATCTGCAGTTTATAATAGTATATTAGTGCAATTCACACCAAAAAATATACATTATTTTTAAACGTTTAATGAGTTTAAAACCGATTCAAATAGGTTTATCTTAGAATGTAGCGTAATAAGGCACGTTATAATAAAAGAAACATCCATTTTAGTCTTCATTTGGAAAACAAATAAAATCAACAACATAACAATACCAGAGTAGAATCAGAAAAAGAAAATATTATAGGTAAATATACCTTTAAGATTAGGATACAGAAACATTTTGCAGGAAAAGAATACTTTTATGAATTTTATGCTTATGACAACCAAAAAACTGAAGAAATTAAATTGGGAAAACGGAATCCTCTCATGCGATTTTCAGGCAAATTAAAATGTACGGAAAACAGTGGAAAATTGCGATCATCACTAGATTTTTGTCTATAGCAAATACCCTTTTTCTTACCTCATAATCTACAGTCCCCTGTCCAAATTATTAGACGTACTGTAAGATTCTATGTAAAATTTTAATTCTCAGGTGATACAATACAGCTTTATTGTTTTTGCGGGGCTGAAACAGGTTTCTACTTAACATAGTAATGCAATATGTTAAAAATAAATACAAATCTGAAGTGTATAAAAGATCTCCTGATCAAACACCCATTACTTGTATGTTTAAATATAAAACTATTGCCTATATAAACTCGTGCAAAACATGCAATTATTAAAACACTACAAAGGGTCTAATAATTTGGTCTAATTATTATAATGTATTAATATAATAAATGATATAATAAATATTCTATCTTTAATATATCGTTTAATTCATTCAATCGTTGAATTTATATTATATATTGTCTAATTTATTCAATTGATACATTAACGTAAACAAGTGCAAACCGCGTTAAAACAATAAAGCTGTATAGTATTATCTGATAATTAATATTTTACATAGAATCTAATAGTGCGTCGAATAGTTTGGCCAGGGACTTTATTGATACTTAATTTTAAAAAAGAGACCTCTATTTTAAGAGTACTTTATTTCGTTAGGTCGAAGCGTGCGTTCAAATCGCTGCTCACCTCCCAGGTGCGGATCGGGATGCCAAGTAGACTATACTACAAAACCATGTCCTACTTGTAATTGTGGTCTGAGGGACAACTCAGAATGTAGTCCCATCAACTGTGTTGCTCCTTGTAGAATGAACTACAATACAAGACCATGTCCCTCTTGCGTTTGCGACAATCAGCCACAAATCACCAATCCAAAACAGCAGTGCTCTCCGCCCGTATGCGATGCCGGATGCCAGGTGGACTATACAGCAAGTCCATGTCCTGTTTGCAAATGCAATGGAGGACCAGGCGAGTCGCAGTGCGGCTCCATAAGGTGCGATCGTGGTTGCAGAATGAATTACAACACGCGACCCTGCCCCAGTTGCGTCTGTAACAATAGACCATCCAGACCCGACCAGCTGAGACAGCAGTGCTCACCCCCTCTCTGCGAGGCTGGATGCCAAGTTGACTACACGGCGCAGCCATGCCCCGTATGCAAATGCAGCAGCTTCATTCCAGATGAGTCTCGGTGTGGGTCTCTGAGGTGTGAAAGCGGTTGCAGGATGAATTACAATACGAGACCCTGTCCCAGCTGTGTTTGTGATCGCAATCCAGCTCAGCAGTTGCAGTGCGACCCTCCTCTGTGTGAGGCAGGCTGTAGCATTGATTACTCGGCTAAGCCATGCCCAACCTGTAAATGTGATTATGGAATCGGAGGTGAGTATCATCTAAGTGTTTTGGGTTGTTTTATTGCATGAACTTAGCACAGGCTGGACTATGCACTGCACAAACATCTGTATACTTTTTTCCAGGCAGAGTAGAATCTTTTATTGCCTTTGCATTAAAGCAAACTGTTTTTAAAGGCATGGTCAGACATAACAAATATTTGTATATTTCCTTCAACAGTTCTCAATTTTTTTTTGCATGCTGTTATAAGTACCTAGTGCCGTATCAAAGTCTCCTTAAACGAAAAATACAATTTTGGTTTTAGAAACTGCTTGTGAATTAGTGTTATCGCTCAGAAGATAAATAGGTCTGTCAGAGACCTAATCCTACTTTAGTTTATTTTCCTTGACTTGTTATTTGAAGAATCTAACAGGATAGTTTTGAAACTTATGCCTATTTCTACCATTTTCGTTCCTTGACTTGTTATTTGAAGAATCAAATAGGATAGTTTTGAAAACCAGGCATATTTCTTCCATTTTATTTTCCTGGGTGTTATAAACGACTTGCAACTTTACTTAATTGAAGTATTAAGCTAGTCAGTTATGAAACTCTGGCTTAGTTCTTTAATTTTATTTCACATTTAGAAGCGGCTTGTAGTTCCTTAAAAAATTACTCCATTAAAGTCTGAATTTTTTTACATGCCGTGACACAAATATCTGCAATTATAAAGATTTTTATCTAACTAAAAGAATGTTTTCTTCCGTTAGATACTACATAGTTTTGAAAAGAATAAGAAAGATTTGTGAAAGCAGTCCTTTTTCAATTCAGAAGAATTCTCATGCAATTCTCACAATTCCTTTGACGTCACGCTATGACCTAGCGGCTTGGCTTTAAGGCAGTTTTGAAACTCGATCTAGATTCTTCTATTTGTTTCCTTAGTTATTGAAATTAACTTAACGTTATTAAAAATTGTGGTTTTTTGAAGAACTAAAAGCAAGATTTGTCTTCCGTTCCAAGCATACATTACTTTTCTTCATCTTCGAAGTAAGGAGCAACTTTTGTAAAAGTTATAACTATTTAAAAGATAAAGTGAGCCAATTTTAAATACAATGCCTTTTTCTTTTCAGTTTTATTTTTTTTATATATATAGAAACAACTCGTGTTAAACCAGTATTTAAAAAAAGATTAAACAAGCCACTTTTGAAGCCCTAGCCTACTTTTACAAATTTCTTTTTCCTAGATATTAAAAACCTGTATTTGTTTAGTTTTGAACGAAAAACGGACCAATAAAGCCCAATCGCACGTTTTCACGCCACATTGCCACAGATACCCGTTTATAGAGTGGGCCACATTCACACAATAGAGAACAACACACGGAGAGAAACATCCATGCCCTGAGTGAGATACGAACCCACAACCATCGGCTTCACAGTCAGGCACGCTGACCGCCCGGCCACCTGGTCGGCAAAAGGCCCAGATATAAGAATCTGCTTTTTTTATAGTTTTCTCAAATATGCTGCATCTTTATTCTAAAAAACATTATAATACTTTAGAGTCATTTGATATCTTAATTAGGTTTTGAAAACAATACTAGCATGAGGTGAAGGCAAACTAGCTTACACCATTGCTCTGTTTTACACACTTTGTAGCATTCAGAACTGATATTTTAATATCTACACGATTCCTGCAACAGCCTGCTGCCTGCCAGGGGTGAGATTCCACAATTTCGTTACAAACGGTATTATCAACGTGGTAAACATCGCGGCCAGGCAAGCTGGCCACGGAAATGCTGGTTGGCCTTCAAGCCGCTACTGGGCATAGAACCCCAGTTATTCGCATCGCCGTCAAGTTTCTTAATCACTGAGGCATTGCAGCTTAATATTTACACTAATAAGGCTTGCTTGAAATAATGCTGGTCTGAAATGTGTACGTAAAGTGATTCAATGATGCTCTATTCAGTGTCTTCTAGCAAACACTCTTTAACATATTAAAATATTTCAAGTATTTAAATATGGCATTTGACTAACGAAAAATTAATTTTTTTTTTAAAATACCTTTTTCTTATTTCTGAACAGATGACTATATAAACCCTCAAACTAATAGATGCAGTCCTCCGAGATGTGATGCGGGTTGCACCATAAATTATAACACAAGGCCCTGTCCAAGTTGTGATTGCAGCGGAGGTGGAAGACACACCGGTAAGTCACCATTTGAAATGATTTTTGCTTTCAAAAGTTAAACAGAATGTCAAAATATTGTATTGTATCAATGTACATACATTGATACAGTAGAAAACAAATAATCATTCAACAATTGTAATACACATGCATGATTGTGCTCAAAACTCGTTGGAGTCGGAAGGTATCAAATGATAAGCTGCTTTCTTTCAAGTATGAAGTCACGCGGCAAGGTCTGCATATCTGTAAGAGGGGACCCTACCCCCTATTACCCCACTTTTGTTTTAGTTTATTCTGCAACTGCTACTTCAAACCTTCCGACTCCAACGAGTGTTGAGCACGATCATGCATGTGTATTACAATTGTTGAATGATTATTTTCTTTGTATTATATTGTATAAATGTATGCACATATCAAATCTCAATTAAAGTTCAATTCAAATTTCATTAATTTCAAATTCCAGTAGCTCTAGAGATAATCGGCCCAGTCTGCGAATTCTCTTAATTTCTTACAACAGTGTAGTTTAGTTGTTATGAATTTGAAAGGCGGTTACAATCATTTAATTTTTTTCAGACAAATAAACTGATTTTCGGACATTTTACTCCAATATAAAAAAAAAACTCGATGATAATTCGTCGTAATATTAATTTTATAGAATTTTTCTTTTTCCTGAACTAATTAGTTTGTAATCTTTATTGCACACATTTTTAGGCCTTTTTTTAATGATTTTTAAATTTTATAATAAGAGCATTGATTTAATAACTTTTTCAAGCAAACTAAATTTTTTAAATTTTTTAAGTTTCTACCGGATTTGTACATTTACAACGGCTTTTTCTGGGAAAAGAGATTCTTATTTGAATTCGGAATTAAAGTAAATAAAAGAAAACATTAACTGAGTCTAAATGGGACACGAATTTTGTTTTGTTAAACAAACTATCCATAGAATAGTTCCCATATTGCATTCATATTTTTTCGTTAAATTTTAATTTACTTTTCTAATTTATTTAAATTATAATACTTTATTAAATATTTTATTAAAGTTATTTAAAGAAAAAAATTGGGACTTTGTTACCAAATTTGATTCATTTTTGTTTTATTGCTCTTCAATTACATCTTAAGACAGAAATTTTCACCAGATTTTTACATAAACCTATAATTGAACGCATTAAGTTTTCTACTAAATAATGTTTTTTTTTTGTTGCTTTTTTTAGCATATCATTAAAGGAAAACGTTCTCCATTTTTACTGCCAAATATTTTTCTATTTTCATCTTCCCATTTCCTTTCTATCTAGCTTTTTTTCCTTTCTACAAAATCTACCAACCATATAGCTGTAAAAACCTTTTTTTTTTTTCAGTCTCTCAAACAAACAAAATCGAAAGTATTACAAATCAACCATTTTGTCAACGGCTTTTAAAATCTCCGCATGTTCTGTCATTTAATTTTTAAAAAAAAATGAATGAACGAATTTCAATTAAAGGATCTCCCTCAAAAATAAAATTGTTCGAATAGCCGCCTTTGTTATATTACGATAGTAATTTATGAAATTTTGATAAAACATAACGTTTTTCAACTCTATCAACAATATAAAGAAGTTTGAATTATTTTGTTGATATTGGTTACACGTTATCCTAAAAGTTATAAAATTGATTTTATCTCCAAAATTGACTTTATTTCCCTTTTCTACTCATTTTCTATCCATATATATTCTATTTAAACTCTAATAAAGGCAGGAAACAAACCATTTCCAGTTCGAATATGCTTTTTTTTTCCTTTTTCTTTCTTCTTGCATTTGAGTTGTCAAATTGTCTCCTTTTTTTTNTTTTTTTTTTTTTTTTTTTTTTTTTTTTTTTTTTTTTTTTTTTTTACATCACTAAGGCGAAAGCAATAGAGCAGCATTTTGGCGAAATATTAAAAAAATAGAATTCAAAAGCTTTATATTTATAACCACATGCATACAATACTTATGTAATATACAAATACATCTTCATAAGAAATTNTTTTTTTTTTTTACATAACTAAAGCGAAAGCAATAGAGCAACATTTTGGCGAAATATTAAAAAAATAGAATTCAAAAGTTTATATTTATATCCACATGCATACAATATTTATGTAATATTCAGATACATCTTCATAAGAAATTTTTATTTTATACACTTTTTTAACCGTCGTTGAACAGCCGACTGAATTTTTGGGCTTACGACTGTTAATGCTCAACTCTGTAGTCTTGTAATTTTGTACCAATAAAGAAGACCAGGAAACTTCTGGATGAGTACCCCCAGAAGTATGATTTGTTATGGGAAGATGGAGGACTTTGTGACTCGACAGATTTAACGTGCATCAGTTCCCATTTACTACAAAGAGAGTCTTCGACCAGCGGGGATCGATCCCTCGGCCTCTTGGACCAATGCCTCACCAAACAGGCTATCCCTGTGTTGAACAGTTTATGGTTGGGATGGTGGTCGTGAGTTCAATCTCCGCCGGTCGAAGACTCCTCGAGCACAAAATGGTCACAGGTTTACGCTAAATCTGTCAGAGTCACAAAGTCCACCCATAACAAACTTCGGGGGATAATGGATCGCGAATTCATCGTGCTCTGGTTCAGGTCAAAAGTTACTATCTGCGGATCGTGTGTGAATGTGCCCTCCCTGAAAATCAGGCAGTGGCGTAATACGAGTACATGGCCATAGATGGCGCCACGTTAAAAGCACATCCCTCCTGCCTTAAAATAGATTTGTCAGTATTCACAAGTAGCATAAAACAACAACAATATACAGAACAAGTTATAGTTTTATTCAAACAATCCTTTTGAACTATGCTTAGTATCAGGTGGTGATATATGCTTTGAAGCGAAATAATAGATCATGATGTATCGATATTTTTATTTATCACGATAACAATACTAACCAGAGATAAATGTAATTCCACTACATAAATATCGGTTATACCCTATCATACAGTAAATATCACGTATACGATAATCACGATTATCATTTCCAATAACGATAATTATTGAATATCACGATGGTTGTCTAGAGCGATGTTATAGTGAGTGTGATAGTTTCAATGTCAGTTTTCATTTTTAGCCAGGTTTAAAATTATTTACGAACTTTGAAAATGAACATCTTCAGTTGGGTAACGAATACATTGTCAACAAAAAGACATAAATTAGTAAGGATGGTAAATATGGTATATCGTTGAATATCGATATTTTATATATATTGCAATGCCGATTAAGCTCAGAATTAATGTGTTTATTGTTATTTTCTTTTTAAGATCAAACGTATTTAGGCGTGCTTTAATGCTATTGCAATTTTTTGTGTACAGTCCCTGGTGAAATTATTAGACGAACTATAAGAATCTATGTAAAATCTGAATTATCGGGTGATACTATACAGCTTTATTGTTTTGCGGGGCCGAAACCGGTTTGCACTTGTTTACGCTCGTGTATCAATTGGTTAGCATTGTAATGCAATAAGTTAAAAATATATATAAAATATAAATATATTGCATATAAACTCGTGCAAAACATGCAAAATATTAAAACACTACAATGGTGGTCTAATTTTTATAATATAATAATATAATAAATATTCTATATTTATATAATATATAGTTTAAAATTTATTCACTCGTCGTATTTATATTATATTTTGTTTAATTTAACCCCTTGATACACGAACGTAAACAAGTGCAATTAAACCGGTTTCATGCGCGCAGAAACAATAAAGCTGCATAGTATCACCTGATACATAGTATATTATAGTGCGTCAGAGACTGTATATGTTGGTTTTAATGTTATCATTTATTCAGGTGGCTCCAATATTCAGTGCAGCCCTCAAAAGTGTGGGTCAGGATGCCGCCTTGAGACCAGATACAGTGGATGTCCAGAGTGCGTCTGCGGACGTCGTGGATAAACAGCAACTGATGTCTCAACTCCATGAACGGCCATGACTTAAACGAACGTACTTAATTAAAACTTTTCACAAAAAGAGTGCTGTTATTCTCTAGTTATTTATTACTAGTTTGATGAGTGTTAATAAAGAACTATTTTAATACTAAGGTAATGACTGATAAATTGGAAATCTAGAAATAAAAAAAATTTTTAACTATGTAAAGATTTCTCTTAAGAAAAAATACATTTTATAAAAGTACATTATCAGGATTGTCGCTCCACAGTGAAAACCTAGAAAATACAGGGAATTTTGTTTCTTACTTTTGTCTTTTAAAAAATGGATAGAGGATATTGAACCATGATACTTTAGCTATACTAAACTATTTCACTTACTTTAGCATTATTTAAGTATGTTCAGCTGATTTACCAGCCATTAAGACTAATAAATATAGTTAGTTCAATGTAACTCACACAAGAGCACAGTCATTGTTGTTTCCTCTTAATGTATTTCGTATAATGTGTGCAGGGAAAGCACAGGAAATTTTTTGTTCAGATTTGAGTTTCAACCCTGATTATTTAAATGTACATTTTATGGAAGATTGTTTTGAAATAACCACCCTGTATGTACCTTTTAGTGCATACATACATATGTTTTTAGAATTCTTGACAAAATATAATTATGTACATTGATAAGATATGTAANGTTTTGTTCAGATTTGAGTTTCAACCCTGATTATTTAAATGTGCATTTTATGTAAATTGTTTTGAAATGACCACCCTGTATGTACCTTTTAGTGCATACATACATATGTTTTTAGAATTCTTGACGAAATATAATTATGTACATTGATAAGATGTGTAATTATGTACCTTGAAAGTCATTCATTAATATATAAATGAGTAGAAAACATTAAAGCTATCACTTTTAAATAAAACACTATTGAGTAAAACGGGACTGAAATCATGTTTAAAGGCCGGATGACAGAGAGGAATTGAAAGACGATTAACAAAAACACCTCAAAGTTTTACCAAGGTCAAAATTTTTAATGGTTCTGCAAAAACTTTTGATGGTTTATGTTGGTTTCAGTGCGATTCATGATGGTTTAACATCATTTGACCATCATCCAACAATTTCCATTATGCGTTCATTCGTTTCGATATGCCATCAAACTTCCATCATTCCATGGTGGAAAGCGGATGGTTTCCATCATTCTCTTAATAGAAACATCCATGGAAGTTTGATTCTTATGGACTAACAATCAATTATGTGATGATTCTAACTATACATTTCCATGATTTTTTAACGGGAATCATAGTTGGTTCTTATGAATATACCATCAAAACAATTTGGTTTTTTATATTGGTCCGTCATATATCAGTCGAATTTCTGCATTGAGATGATGGTTGTTCATGATTTCTAAGAATCTATGATAAAAATTTGTGATGTTTCAGCATGAACAACCATCAAGACAAGTTATTATTCTTATGTTATACCATCATAAATCAGTCCGAATTCCTACATTGAGATGATGGTCACTTATGTTGGTTACCATCAAAAAGTATAATAGTTCATGTTGGAATTGGTAATGGTTGCCATCAAGATAATGTTGGTCCATCAACAGAAAACCATAAAATAAAAAAATTTGACTCGGGTATCGAGCAATCAAACTAGTTTTGGTGTTTTTTAGCTAATCTTACTCAATAGTGATTCCTTGGATTTCGATAGCATGCTTTTTTTTCATTGCTTCGAAATTAATTTTTTTTTACAAAAAAAGTGCATAGTTTGTTGATTTGAGTTTCACTATATTTTGTTTTTTAACTGGCTTTGAACAGCTGATCCAGTTTTGGGTTTACGGCTATTAGTATTTGACCTCGTAACATTTTTTTTAAATCCGAAATAATAAACAATGGAATTCCTGGATGAAGTATTGAGGCAAACTAGTCTTTGAGGAATACATTTTGATGGAATAGACTGCATTTGCGTTACATAGAGAAAGAAACCACGAAACCCACCCCCAATTAACCCGATGGCAGAGGGAGATTGAATATTTTATATACATGAATTGTGATCATTACTCAACAAACTGAATTGAACTCAATATTGAAGATCTTTAACTTCAAAATCATCTGGACTCTTTTCCAGATTAATTTTTTCTTAAAAAATATATGTTATAGGATATCATGTGTTGGCAATTTCTTTTCCTAGTCGTCGCCAACGTTGGTCTAAATAAGTACGGGCTTTACTCGATATTTTTCAATTGATATTTTTTTATATTTCTTTTACATAATCACATTTTAAATTTAACTACAATTTTACGAGATACTATATTTTTGATGCTGTCAATAATCTCGCCGTAATATCGTATTAGATAGGTACTTTATTTACGTCACTCTAGAACTGTCCAATGGGCTATTGGCGACCGTCTGTGAAACATCCCCGAGGATGATCCGAAGACATGCATTCTCTATTTTGATCCTCAGCGGAGAGGATGACGCCAATGCTTTGGTATCCCGACGGCCAGCTCGAGAAGCACTTTACGGCAGAACAGCTTCACGAAGACCGATACCGCGCACCCTCAGTCACTAAACAGGATGATCAAATTGGCAACCCACCCGCTTAATGGCCTCAGTCAGTGATGCTTGACTTCGGTGTCCGTGTCGGCTTTCGGTGACCGTGTCTTTACGATCAATCCACTGCGGTACTAATATCGTATTGGAAAATTATAGTTATCAATAATAAATATGATTTTATCGTAATCGATATACATTGTAATCGTCAATAATCGAGATAATGTCAAATTTGATGCGTCTATGTCTGTTATCGGTCGACTGGAATAAAATAGAATTTGGCTTTGTTACTAATACGCGTTGGCAAACTTCGCTTTATGATCCCTATAGTTGATAAGTACTGAAATATCTTTCTAATTTTTTTAAAATTGGTTGCTTATTCTCAATAAATCAAGTTGCTTATAATCAATAAATCTATTCTACACTAAAAATTAGGATCTACACTAAAAAATAGTCCACAAAACTAAAAGAGAAATAATCGCCACAGCTAATAAAACAATTCCATTTTTTAATTTTTTTATCAATATCTGTTTACAATAGTGTATTAACTAAACATGGTTTTAAAATTTAATCCCATTAAAATAAAGATTAAACTATGTTTAGCTTTATTTGACATACTGCTATTACTCGAAGCCAATTTCTGAAAGTCAATCATTACCATAATCAACAATTTTCTTCGGAACGTAACTCTTTCCGTAAAAACATATTTCCGCAGTACCAATAATCGGTAGGTTGGTACCAATAATAGTACATTCAGTACCTATTAAAAACAACAATTAACGAAATACTTCCGCTACTTTTACGAATGCTACTTTCATCTAATGATCGGATGTTCCAGGATCTTAATAGTTTGAGGAGAAGATATGCTGATTAATAAGTGCAAGCAATAATTGCGAAATTAGACACAAAAATGTACTTTCTCTGAATAAACCTACATCCGGAGTTTTGACTACTAAATTATAGGGGATAGCCGCAATCTAAGAAATATAGTTCCAATAGTTTGGTCAAGAGAGCGCTCCAAATTTTGGATTCCTAAATGTTCATTTTACTTTTTGCGTATACCGCAATGCTTCGAAAACTTTTTAAACCAATTGAAAAAGTTTTACCCACAATTGTAAATGAGTTTTTGAAAAAATAATTTTTCGTAAATATTTATCAATATTTGCTTAAAAATAATCGAAAAATTTGAATTGTAATGGATATTTTGTTTTTGCATAATTTTAGAGAAAGTAATTTTGCATGAGCAAAATACAAAATCAGAGAAAATTGTGGAATAGTTTTGAAGAAATCAAATTTTAAACACGCTATTTTTTTTAAATATCAAGTACAGTTTTGTACCTCTACATGTCTGTATGAACAAGTGTATAGCACCCAATAAAATACTGATTCGAATGAGACTAAAATTAAATCTATAGGTTATATACGTATTTACGCATAAACTCTTATAACTTCGAAACTATTAGTTCTATCGACGTACGTTTGATTTTTATTGGATTTACCATAAAAAAAATATGTAAGAAACATTGTCTCACTCGATTAAATGTCATGAGATATGTAGTTATAAGTGCAAACATTGTACGTTTTGCTCATCAAACTCTTATTAATCCTATCGGTTTGATATTGCACTTATTCAATTAAGTGTAAAAAATGCATAGCATCAGATCTTATCTATATAGCAATATCAAAAGTGTTGTTAGGTTCAAGTACACAATTGTGCTTTTTAGAATTTTGACTTATGAACTGTTATTCCGATCGACTTTACTTCAGTTTCATTCAACATGAAAAACTTCATTAAAAATAGTATCTTATTTGGTTAGCTTCAAGTAGATAAATCGGTTTAATTAAAAAGATGCTTTTTTTAAAAAATATTTTTTAAACATGTCTACTTTTTGTTAATAATCATAGAATTAATAATAGTATAATTGTAGAGACGAAATATTAAGTGTGGTTGGGGTAATGAAAACAGGATAATGAAAATGACAGTTGAAGATAAAAACTGGATCATAGTTAATAAACTTTTTATTTACTAATATATGTAGACCTCGATGTACAAAATATTTTTATCCATAGGACTATAAGTTGTATAAATTTTGCATAAAAAACATTAATAAGGACTGGCCATAGGAGACAAATCCGCCGTGAACTGCTCAATCAAAAGCCAAATTAAGAAGTTATTGAATTGTTCCCAACAGACATTTAGAATCAGGAGAAGAGATCCATGGTTGATGATTTATCGAATCATAACATAGCCAAAAATAAGGCCAACCGCTCATAATATTAGGTTTGAAAAATACCTTGGCGATCACGAATCGTCAACAAAACTGTGAGAATTTTTATAACCATGTAATGAAAACTTATTTGTGGTAAGAAATTTAAGAATAAAGATAGATTTTTATTTTCGATTAGGCGCGTCAGTGAATTAATGAGTCTACATTAGTATTGAAATAAAAAGTCAGCCGTTACATGGATCGATAAGAAATGAATAAAATATTTGATGTTCGCTTTAAATAAAAATTAATTAATTTAATTTAATTATAATTCGATTAAGAATGATTTTAAAAAGTAAGTTTAAGCAATTAAAGATATTTTAAAAGTTAAGAAATATGTAATGCCAATTGTGGGATCACAGTCATATGAATAATTAAATTAATAATCATATTAATAATTATAATATTAATAGAGGGATTTATAATAATTAAACAGTATTAGAATAGCATTAAAAATAGTATTAATAATAAAGTTACTAGAATTAATAAGAGAGTTATTCGTGACTTAATAAATTAAATACTTTTTCGTATTTCATTNGAAATATGCAATGCCAATTGTGGGATCGCAGTCATATTAATAATTAAATTAATAATCATATTAATAATTATAATATTAATAGAGGGATTTATAATAATCAAACAGTATTATAATAGCATTAAAAATAGTATTAATAATAAAGTTACTAGAATTAATAAGANTTAATGAATTAAATACTTTTTCGTATTTCATTGCCTTCACCAGCAAAGAAGGAAAAAAAACTTTAAAATTTTGATTTGATATTCAATTACAAGGAAGTTTACTTTGAGTGAAAATTTTATTTTAGTCGATTTTAAGGCAACAAATTTAGTTACACAAAATCAACTCACCCAAAGTGGTGACTTTGAGACAACTTTCCTTGCTATTTAGAATAAATTTTCACCTACAACATATGAAAAAAGAAACTGTGCTGACCTCCTCAGTGACATAGTCAGAAATCTACGGTGCAATTTAAAAGCGATATAAAATTAAAAAAAGTCCCCGCACTTCAGCATTTTTTAATGAAAATCTGCTGCATATCATTTAGTCTAGTGAACTTTTGAATTACTTAAGCAAAGCTAGAGACACAAATGAAGACATTCTTAATGTAAACTTTTTTTATTAAAAACACTTAACTAAAAGCTAAAATTGTTAGCAATTATTTCTGTAAACTAGAATAGTTTCACATCCCGTGTGATGACATAAATCTTTACGTGAAAAGTTTTTTTTTAAAGTTGATCTCAAAATATCAACTTTGGAGACTACTCACAATAAATTGCAGAAGTATGTAGTTTCGTTCGCTCTATTTTTGCAATCAAGTAGTTATCTTGTTGCATGCAATAAAGTTCTTTATAGAGCAATACAAAGAATTTTTGAAAGTGCTCATTTATTTAAATATGCATTTTTTATTGAATCATCCACGATGACCACCATTACTGCATATTTTTAGAACTCTTGCTAACTATGAAGTCAAAAAAGTGTTACTGCGTAGTCGCATGTTAATATTTAAAAGAGGAAAAAGCGAAAAAAAAAACGTTATCGTCCTGCGATTGGTCGCAATTTGGAAAGCGGGTTTATGAAGCAGCAAACGACAGAAAAGAGAACATTATTATTAAAAGCGCATCAAAGTTTCAGCAGGGAATAAAACAAGTTTTGATATTTTGTACACCAGTCTTTCTAACATTGTGATGTGTCAGATTGCGTTAAAGTCTATTTTTTCCCTCGCTTTGTGCGACCCACAATGTACGTACTTTTTAGTCTTTTAATTTGACAAGCTCTCTAAGAATTTATATTAAGGGTGGTTTTTATGGAACATCTTGTATAAACGTTCACCTAAACGTTGGTTTCGAGCCATAAAAATTAAACCAGCATTGTGCAAATCCTTTTTCCGTTACAACAGCATTAATCTTCAGATTGAAAGCAATTTTCTAAACTTAAATAACTTTTTAAACTCGCTGGTATGTTTAGAGACCCAATACCAACAGGCATCTGAACGGATTCTGTTAAAGCTCTACGAATGGCGCACCTTGTAAGATGTTTCAAGCTTCTTGGGGATTTCTCAGTTTCTACGTCATTCAATACAACTTTTGAATACCATTTCCATACATTCAAAAATTCAGGAAACCTATCAGAATGATGAAAAGAGGACAAAAATTGCTTCTTTGATAAAAATGGATCCGGAATGGAATTCCAGAGGACACGCAAGACTTCATCGTACAACTCAACTCCATAATCTTTGTCATTGTAGTATGATTGGATATACAGATGCAAAATCTGGCAGGGCCTGTACATCTTATTACTTCTTCTACGAATGATTCTGTTTCGGAAACCAAACAAATTGTACCTATTTAAAAAATAGAGGTACATTAGAGAGCTAAAATAAACATTCTGAATAACTTGTGATCTAATGATCAGATTTTTGCGTACTACAAATCATAGTCACAGAGAGCCTTCGCAGTAAGTTTGTAACGTCACCTATGATGGAACGTTGATACATCAGATTTGTAGTAAATTCGACTGTCTTATAAATAGTTTTTCTGGAGAGAATTAAAATATTTTATTGACACTTATACAGTTTTTTGTTGATCTTTTTTTATTGGAATAAATCAATGTTATTCATCACGTTATGACTCAATAAATTGAACTATAATGCTTTTATGAATACATATTATTTACATTTCCTAACAGAAAACTATTTAATAAGAAAAATTTTTCATTCACTTTTAAATTAGAATGAATCATAATATCAAAAGAATGACAATCATTCAAATGAAATCATTACTTATATGGAATGACGTATTGAACTTAATTATATTTTCCGAGACTTAGAAAAACATTATGTAAGAAAAAAAAACAAATAAAGAAATTATAATTTTATTCACTCATTCATAAAATAGCTATTTTAAAATAGTAAAATAATTCAAACATAAACATTATAATTATTTACAAATAAATGTCGCATTTAAAAATTAAAGCAAACTAATTTCGCAAAGTATTTTTATCCTTAAAGATAGTAAAAATTTATAGCAATATTTAGTATTTGAAAATTTGAATTTGGTTTTTTCTTTTAGTATATTATCAAAAAACGTTAAGTTTTTTTAAAATATTAAGTACATATTTATTTATAAATTTTTTTGATGCTTGTTTTCCGATTTGTAAAAAAAATATTACATAGTGATTTTTCTAGAAATTTATCAGAAGAATATTCTGGAGCTGATGAATTTTAAAAATAGAACTGGGTTGAGGTATGGATATCACATATCAGTGTTTACTAGAACAAAGGTATTTTAAAAACCTGTTCTATCTTTAGGGTATTCAATGAACAGTTTTATCATAGCTGAAAAAGAAATTAAATTGGCAAGAGAATGAGGTTGTTGTTGTTGTTCATTTACGTCGCACTAGAGCTGCACAATGGGCTATTGGTGATCCGAAGACATGCCATCACAATTTTGATCCTCTTCAGAGGGGATGGCACACCCTCTTCGGTAGCCCGACGACCTGCACGCGAAGTCGAGCACATTACTGTAGAACAGTTTAACGAGGATCGATACCGCACACCCTCGGTCCCTCCGCAGACTGATCCAAGTGGTCACCCATCCGCACACTGACCGCAGCCAGTGATGCTTGACTTCGGTGATCTGCTGGGAACCGTGTCTTAACGATCAGTCCACTGCGGGACAAAAGAATGTGGGAGGTGACCACTTTGGTGATTTAGAAAGGCATAAAAAAATTAACAAATCTACTGCAATTAAACGACATATTTAATGGACAAAAATATTTCATTAACAAAAAATTCAACTCGAGTCAAATATTTAAAAGAGAACAAAAAAAAATTAAAATAATGTGTGTCGGGGAGGGGGTGGGTAACTAAGCATCCCATTCTGATGGTGTCAATTGAAGAGCTCAGACTCAAACAGTCAGTCAGTTCGACTGTTTGAGTCAGTTCTGTCAAAATTACGATCGTTACAGAACATAATTCTTCTGCCAAATTACAAAAAAAAAGAGTGAGCAAAGATATCACCCTGAATATCTGTCGCTCTAATCATCAGATTTTCACGGACTAAGTATCAATCTTAATGATTTCAGAGGGTAACTTCAAATATACTGATTAATTAGTGATAATTATTAATTAAGTTGTGAAATCAGACACAAAAACGCACTTTCTCTGAATAACCCCTTTTTTTAAAAAAAATTATATCGAAATTTAGGGCGCTAGGAAGCTTTATACACTTGGCGGCGGGCCAAAGAGAGGCCAGGAATTATCGCCAGAATAGATATTTAATAAAGCCATACTATATCCACGTAATCGATAAGAGAGAAATACTCCGTTGCTAAGCAACAAAGCTGAGTGAATGAAAAAGAATAAAATGAAAACTGAAGCTCTTCTTCCTTACTACGTTAGCTCGAGGCAAAAATACTTTTCTTTAAGAGTTAATAGAAAAATATTTTGAAGTTTCTTAGCAACATATTTGTTTTTAGTTGATTACTGCCCAAAAAACAAAGTTGTTTTAGCTTTTCTCTCCGCTAAAAATAAAATTTGAATTGATTGTCAATTATTTATAATTTATGAAGATTTTACATATGAACTTTTTATAAGATATTATTTGTATTAAAATTATTTTTAACTTTTCTAAATATGAAGATTTTATGCTAAACCAAATTAGCATTATCTTAATTCTAAACAAGGCTGTAGGACAAATCACGAAAAATATCCCGTAAAAATAGTAAAATATCTGAAAGAATTTATAATGCACATTCCCAAGGTTTTTTTTTATATATATTTCTTTTTTTTTCTTTGCAGCAATATTTCTATTTTTAATAATTGAAGAAACTAGCGAATGTTACGCGACATTTTAAAAAGATTGAAAAATGTATGTTTAAGAATATTGTTTCATTTTTTAGAAAAATCTTTTCAATCTACTCAGTATGCGACTCTCGTAGTTTTCTTTAAAGATAATTTGCAAATGTCATCCTGATGTCTTTGCGCATTCTGAAACTGATTTTCGTAAATTTATTTTACGATTCTTACCATCATTACATACTGATGCAACAGTCTCTTTAAACAGAATTCATAAGATCATGAAGAAGCTGTAAAAGTGGCAGCAAAACTAAAAAGATGATTTAATTTTTGCTGTTATATTCACAACCGAATCAAACAATCAATTTCAATATACAACTTCAAATATCTGTTAACAAAATCTTCAGTTTCGAGATTTTAATTTAAAGTTTAAAATTACTTCCTTATTTCAATATAGATGCGACGGTTTTTTAAATGCTTTAACCGCTTCTCCCTTCTTTTTTTTTGAAAAAAAATGCCAAAAATCAACATATTTTTTTCTTTAATTCATAAATAGAGGGAACTAAAACAAAACATAATACACAAGTTCTAAGTTGAAATTTTAATTTTTCATGTACAAAAAATATTTAATCTACCATTAGTTTCCTATCCCAAATTATCTCGGGCAATTAAAAAAGTTAAATATTAGTCTTTGTATATGTTCACATCTTCATCTGAAAATTCATCTGCATTACTTTCGCTCGCGAACTCCATTTTTTTACTCACTTTTCTATGCAAATTTAGCAGCCATCGTATTTACAATCACACATAACGCGTCTGCAGTCCCACAAACAGCAAAAAAGTCCCAAACAAAAATGGACAAACTTCCAATCACAGCAGATTATTATTATTTTTTGTTTTCCTTCCGGCAGAATAAAAACGTGATAAAACAAAACATACGAACAAATTCTGCAATGTCTGAGTTTACTCGGAATAATCGGTGAAGCGGTTAAAAACCATAGAAAAAAAAAGCATAATACAAAAAAGAAAGTCATAACTATAGAAAATGCAATAAAAAGTACTTACGGATCATAACATTGTATGAAGTATTCAAAGTCGTAGAAAGCTCTTTCGTATCGTTGATCTCTGAATCCGTACTTCACAAGTATCAGGTATCTCTTCACATTTTCTAATAAAGATCTCTGTTTGTACTTTCGTCTCACTAGAAACAACTCAGAATCACTAAGTCGAAAGAAATTAAGACGTAGTTCCTGAGCTGCGTCTAACACTTTACATAAGACCGATTCAAGAAAATCAAAATAGAAATAAACACTCTCTGCGAAAACATCAACGTACGAAACGAACAACTCGTGCTTGCATTTGTGAAGGGAGATATATTGTAGATAGTCCACCAAAACCTTCGCCGCTTTATCTGAATGTGTCCAAAAGCTGCTTCCACCAAATTCCAGATACGACACCAACTTGAATTTTAAGACCAGGCTTAAGTGTTCAGAGCACTCTTCTTTTTGATGGTACTTCACAAGAAGTGCAATGCACCACAATAACAATTTAGGTGTACATAGGAGTCTGGTATGATTATTAAATTCCATTATCAACCTCTTCATGTCAGGATCATTTTCAGCAAAGCACGTAAAATTTTTTTCAAGGGAGCTCACCAGATCAATTCGAGTCATTTTACCCTTTTTATAGATTAAGGGGTTGTGTTGATATAAAATGTTTTCCTCGTGTGAATGCGAGCAAAAATGGACATTATTAATTAAACCAATGGACATCAAATTCGAATGTTTTGAGGAACGAGAAATATGGTGGATAAAAGCTGTCAAAATATAGCTCGCTTCACACCTAGACACTTCGGAAATATATCGTATTGGCATGATTAAAAATTTCGAATTTTCGTTCTCTTCGCCACTATATGGCTTCTTGATGACTCAATTACAATTGCTACACCAAATTAAGTTTCAACCACTTTAATTAGTTTATTGGAATTACATACATTTGCAGGCTTGTGAGTTCACTTTAGGCTTATAAGCCTTTGTCAAATAGAAGGACAGATAGCGCAATACAGCACGGTTCCCAACAGATCACCGAATTCAAGCATCACTGGCTGCTGTCAGTGTGCGGGTGGGTGACCATTTAGATCAGCCTGCATAGCGACCGAGGGTGTGCGGTATCGGTCCTCGTTAAACTGTTCTACAGTAATGTGCTCGACTTCGCGTGCTAGTCATCGGGCTACCGAAACGGGGGTGCCCTCCCCTCTACAGAGAATCAAATTTGCTATGACGTATCCTCGGATCATCCTCTGGAATTCTTCCCAGACCATCGCCAATAACCCATTGTGCAGCTCTAGTGAGGAGTAAATAAACTACAACAACAATACAGAGAAGGACAACAGGAAGATACATCCGGAATAAAAGCGGGATTCGAACCCGCTACCTCCACGCTTTTCACAGCGTTTGGCGGGCGATAAAGCTCACCACTTTTAACCTTGCTGAAACCTGAAATAAATTGTGGGCATCCATACTTGTGTTGGATGAAGAACAGCGCTTTTATCCTCTGTACTATAAGAAAGAGTTCGGTTGAGGGTGGTAAGTTGAGTTGATGATGATGAAAATGTAAGGGTAGAAGATGATCATGGTGAAGACTCTAATCTAATTTGATGCAAAATTTGCAGTTTTCCGAAAAAAATTAGTTCAAAATTTTGTAGTCCCATAACAAATCATACTTCTGGAGGAACAGATCCGGGAATTTCCTTGTCTTCTGGGTTGGGTTCACAATTACAAGGCTACGGAGTTGAACATTAGTAGTCGTAGACCCAAAATTGGGTCGGCTGCTCAACGACAGTTATAAAAGAAAATAAAAACTTTGGGGGGAGAGACGTGATGGCCAGGAGATAGAGAGTTTGCCTTCCAATGAGCTGAACCGGGTTAAAATCCCACCGATGGCTGGTCGATACGAATCCACATGCACCGACCACACTACTGACGTGAATCATCCTCAGTGGTAGACGGATCATTGGTTAGAGTCCCCTTGCGGTCAGACTAACCGTGGGAGGTTCTCGCGATATTCCTCTCCATGTAACGCGAATGCGGGTTAGCTCCATCAAAAAGTCAAATTTTTCCCAATACTTGAATCAGGAGTTTCCTTGTCTTCTGGATTGGGTTCAAAATTACAAGGCTACGGCACTGAACATTAGTAGTCGTAAACCCAATTTTGGTTCGGCTGTTCAACGACGGCGATCTCTCCCCAGTTGGCGTATTCGAGCGTTGCGATCGCCAATAAAAAATCTAAGAAATTTTGTTTTTATGTTGAAAAGTTTTCCTAAACACCTGGACAGAGTCGCTAAGAGGATATTTTTTTTATATACATGCGCATATATAAGGGACATTCAAATGAAACCCGATCACTAGAGTAAAGTAACGGTAACGATTTTGATAGCTCACAAATGTAGTTATACACAGCTCACGTACTCAAAAATAGTCGCTTAAACTGTTGGCACACATTTATCCCATTGCAACACTAGCCCGTCTATTCCATCTAGTGAGCTGCTATCGGATTTAGGCTTGGACCTAGTCACACACATCATCGTCCGTTGTGCATCAATGTCCCCGAATAGCCTGTTTTAGTGATCCAAAAACATGAAAGTCACACGGTGAAAGGTCTGGACTGTACTGTGGATGTTCCAGAGTTTCCCACATTTGCGGAATTATGTTCCGCAGAGGACGATAACTTGCATGACCACCTTCTCTTCGGCGTGCAACCACACTGTCGCTCTGCAACGTCAAACATTGCGCATGCGTCAGACTCTCTATCAAAGGATGGTGCCGCCATACACGCAGTTACGAGATGCCCAATTACATCTAATGCAAAGTTAGACGCACTGACCAAGTTTCATTTGAATGACCTTCATAGATTAAAAGTCATTTTCTAATTTATCCAGAGACATCGGAACATGATGAGTGGACATAATTCTAATTAGTTTTTCTAAGTTTAAATATGCAGGACAATCCCATTGATATGGATTATGACTTCCGTTACAATTGCTGTAACACGGATCCTTAGTGCGCCGGCCAAGATGTTTGGAAGTAAGCGCAGTTGCAGCATCTGGAAGGAAATTTACTGTATTCATCGGGGTAGTCAAACCCCTACAATTCTTGTATAAAAGTAACAAGATTTTTTTTCACTGTTCTCTAAAATGCGTTTCACTGTTTCTAAGCTCTCACGTTGGATTAAAAGCGACCCACTTCGTTGAAAGCGTATGCCTTCGTTTCTTTTCGTCTGTACGAAGCGATTAAGCCTACTTTAAAGCGTACCGATGAGGTCTGTGGTATACCACAGGATTTGTCTTTCGCTTCAATGCTCAAGACAATGTCGCCATTACTTTTAACATGAGCCAGTCTATGGGTTCATTGAAGCACCACTGCTGAACTAAAAGGCTGGTCATTTTTGGCTGAATAACCCCTAAAAGCAGAGAGTCAAAGTGGCTTACCGATTTCTTGGAGATCCTAAATAAAATGGACACTATGTATCGCCTTGCTAGAAGTCCATGGGTGCACACTTGGCATCCAACACAACTAACAAAGTATGCTGAAAATTACAACAATTTCAGCAACTTCAACGTGGCTTGTTTAAAGTAAGATTTTTAAATTAAATTTTTGATGCAAATTCGATCCAAAGTAAAAGAAAAACGATAACTCGCACCCTCGGTCCCGACGCAGGCTGATCAAAACTGTCACCCACCCGCTTTCTGACAGCAGTGGGTGATGCTTGACTTCAGTGTTCTACTGGAAGCCGTGTCTTTAGGATCAGTAAGTACTGCGAGACAAAATCCCTTTCAGGGCATGGATGTTTCTCTCTGTGTATTATCCACTGCTGTGTGTGATATGTGAATGTGGCCCACCCTATGAACGGATATCTGTGGCTGTGTGGCGTCGTTAATGTTGCTCGCTTTCGTGACTTTAGTCACAAAGGTGGTCACCAGGAAACGAAAAATGAGCAACACTTCCACCACCTTCCATGGCGATGAGCGATAAGTTCAGTGCCTGCCATTAAGACAAGGTTTTCATCATAAACGCTCTAACCAATGAATCTCAATCACATAAGTAATCTGAATGAGTCAAAAACAGAACTACCTAGTTACACAGCAAAAAGTTAATACCCGAAATGATCATAATGAGGATAACTGACGGACATTTCTGGAGCTCTTCGCTGTTAATCGCTCATAGCTGGCTGATTAATTATGTTTGGTTAAAGTGAATGGTTGAATGTATTTTACAGTAATTGGATCACCTTTTAAAAATGAATGAAGGGTAGAAGTTTATAATCATCAGAAGTGCCCGTAAGTGATGAGATGGACAGAGCTCCAATGTCAAGTTGAGTTCGAAGTATGGTGCGCTGTTGTTCCAAAAGTGAGCATACGAATATGATATGGTCGGCACAGCATCTGCATTTGTCGTCTAGTACGAGATCGAATCGAAATAACTTCGCTTTTGTCGGATATGTTCTGGTACGAATTTGAGAAAATGTTGCTTCTTGATGTCTGCAGGAGAGTGATAGTCGATGTTCTTTACTTATATGTACAAAGTCTGCGTAGTATTTGCTGTTCCCAAAAGTAGATTGCCTGGTCTATTGATAGAGTTGTTGATCATACGGCAGGGGTCTTCTAGAGTAAATTTATTACAGATTTTAGGTTTGACTCTCGCCATTTTGTCCGTGATTTCATTACCAGAGTGACCATGCTAGATCTACTGATTGACATGATGTTGGGAGTGCTTCCAATGCAGATAATATGTGGTTCCTTACGTGGAAGCAGTGGCAATTCCGAAGAGAGAGAGCCAGACAAAATTACAACACGTTGGGAATCTGAAAGACATCTTCGAATCACCAGTAAGATAGCAATAGCCTCAGCTGTGAAGATAGAACAAATAGAAGAGACGGATTCAGACGGAGCTGAGCAGAGCGGGAATTGTTAACTCCGGTCTTGCCTGAAGCTTGGGAGGCTTCTATGTCGAGTAAGGCGTGATATGACCAGTTTTTGCAAGAAAAGTCTCAGAAAATAGTGAAAATTATGTTTTGTGGATTCTTTTTGCATTGGAATGGAATATTTGACAGATGCATTCGGACATTCGAAGGCAGTTCATGAATTCGGCGGTCCATGTGAAGCATGTGATCGATGTTGATCATGTGTAGAGTCACCATTTTGCTTGTAAGGAAAGAACTGATTTTCTAAAGATACAGGGAATATGACGGTTATTTACGGTTATTTATTGCACATAATGATTGGGTGTAAAATCGCTTCTAGAGCATATTATCCCAGATAGCAATATAAGGTTTTTTCAACACAACAAAAATCTTTTCACGTAAACCTAAAAAGGATTTTTTACACGGTTTACGTGTAAACCTTCTAACCTTAAAACGAGCTCTGCAACAATCTGCTCTATTCTACGCACATTACCCTAATCCGAAACCTTGGAAAACAACCTTCAACATAACTACCTTAAAACGAGGTTGTCCTAGGGTTTTCAAGCGGGAAAAAAACCTTCAATAGAGCTAGTTCTAAGATGAAAATCATCTTAAATCTACATAAAAGGTTTCCGTTTGCAGCGTTTTCGTATGCTCAGCTAAAATCTACTGTCATAAGATTTTCATTGACAATACAATTTAATGCTATTGCTAGAGTACGTCAGCTAAAACGTCATTCTGAACGTGATGTCATCTCTCCCACGATTGTATGACGGAGCGTTTCATTATTTGTTTTATATTTTACTTCTTATAGCTTTCCCAGTCCGAGGAAAATTCTCCTTTCCATGAATTTTGTTTGATTATTTTGGGGAAAATAGTCATTTTTTATCAGTCTGACTTTACTTTGCTGTAGGAACTTAATGATTTACAAGTTAAAATATCGTTTAATATGGAATTTTTTATTTTATTTACCGATTTGATT